ATCTTCTTTTTCCTCACAATGGTGTGCACCCGCAACCAAAGAAACCAAGGAGCACCACCATCGGTTACCCTCGGAGGCCATCGTCGCCACGTTGCTCTGCCTTTCATCCACGTTCTGAGTAACTTTGACTCACTGTCTGCGCCACTTCTTGCTCGTATGGATGACGTCCGTAAGAGACCCCACTGAGAACCCTATCCCCAATGCACGAGGCCACTCGACCTCATACAATCATCACAATGCTGATTCAAGAAACCCAAAACCAACCCAATCATCCTCTACGGCCACCCCAACGTTCTGCTCTATGTCGTCGGGTTCTACTTCCAGTCTATGGCGGATGTTGCGGCACCGTCATTTGTTTTCCCTGAGCAGCCTAAGGTAAACTCTTCCCCTCTGGAAATTGAACATTTACTGATGTTACACCCTCTTTTTGGTTATACAAAGGACTTTGAACAAGGATTTCTTATTTCACTGGCTGCTGTAGAAGTTTCTTCTTCTCGTCAGCATGTTGCGCCACAACCTTCTCATTCATTTGCTGTAAGGGTTGTAGCCGATTCTGGTGAGCATTCTGCCCACGGAGGTGATGTTGATTATGACGGTTCTTTGAACGACGACCGAAGCTGAATTTATTTGGTTCTGATTGAAGAAGTTCTTCAGGGATATATAAAATTTGATGACAATGAATTCTAGAGGTTTGATAGTATTCGATATTGTTGATTTCAGGTTTTCAAATATATTCCTTCTCATAATCTTGATACTTTACATTTACGAGAATCTGTCTCCAATTATTTTGTTGCCATTGGTTGAGAATTGTATCTTGAAATTAGGTGTAGTACGTACTATGAATTGGTGTTCGAAATTTTTGCTACATTTACCTTTTTACAGCATCGATTTGTTTCTATCGACTCTCATGATATTATTTCCTTTTGATTGCTTGGCCAATATTTTAGAATGTATATGGATGATTTCACTTTTTCTATGGGATTCGTGACGGATATCACTGATCATGGCTATTTGACTGCTTTACTTGAGATACCTTAGGATTTCGACACTGACATAGCTTATGAGGCACTCACAGGTTCGACAGGAGTTTAATACAATACACGCACTACTAAAGCGTTGCACATTCATGATCCCACTCTCTGCTACATTCACTAGTTTTTAACATATAACTATTACGGATGTAATGATACTACTTCTGCACTTAGTAAGGTGAATTGTTCTTTTTATGGGTATGCAAATTGGTACTAAGGTAAATTTGGGTTTTTGGTTCACCCGCGCCTTTGAGCGTGTTGTGCGATCCAATCGCCTATTATTCTCGGGCCTTTTATTACTCACTTTGCATTTCCTTTGTTTCCATTGACGTTTGACACTACCCAGTTTACTTATGCTTTTGCAATGAATGTTTTGGATACTAGGTGTTTAGACATTATAGACCTCCTTTCCGACACCCCGATGCTCTCACATAGTTCCTCCTGGCACTATCACGCCTTGCAATTAGCGAGTTTTTCTCTGGAGAACTACTCTGCAGCCACCACCGGCCGAACATCCACACAGTGAGATCCATGAGGTTCATGGACGCCTCGATTCCTCTGAGGCTAACTTAGCTGAGATCTTGTCCTATCTTCTACGAGTTTGACTCGTCGTGGCCACGACCGCGGTCGTCATTAAACCAGGGAGTAATTATGTTCCCTTATTGTGCTTTTCTATTCATATTGGGTCAATATGGTCTAAGTGAGGGGGTAGAATTTGCTATCAAAATTTTCGCTTGCTTTTGATTGGTTGGAATTAAGTTGTTTTTATATTGATGTGTTGGAATCTTTAGTTCCTTATCTTGAAATTCACTTTATACTCTTGCTTTCTTTTGGATTGACTGTTTTGATCGAACTTAATTTGCATGATGGTTATTGGCATAACTGGTGATTTTCTGCTAAGTATTGATATTTCATGCATTTGTTGATGGAGATGAGTTTGACTCAGTACATATAAACTTTTAATACATATTTGTTATGAGATTTGAACCTAACGAGCATATTTATTCTTTCTTGTTCATTGTTTAACTGAGTGTGCTGGACTAATTATGATATTCTGGAACTTGTAATCTTAATACATTTCGAGACTACATGTTGGACATAATGTTTTAATGTGATAGGGCACTTAGGGTTAAACCATTTTTTTCTAAAAAAAACCTACACATTTATGTATCACTAGTGAACCACTTTTGAGCATTTATCCTTTTCTTTGTTTTAAACCACATAATTAAACACAAGCCTTTATTTTTATCCATATTTTCTACACTTATCAAGACTAGTAGATTAGTTGTTTACATTGATTTATATTCTTTATATTATTATATTATTATTTTACTATTTTTGTTATTTCTTTTTCTTTTTAAAAAATGATTCAAACAATGTAGAAATTAAAGCAGTACAGTGCAGAGATAAGTAAAAAACCATAAAAGAAAAAAATAAAAAATTGAAAAAATTGAAAAAAGGGTGATTTATGTTTATGATTATGTTTATATTTACTTTTATTTTATTTTATGAAGATTATGAATAATTTATAAATCTCTTGTCTTGATATTTAAACTGATTATCATTGACTTTTTCCTATCTTAACCGAAGTCATGTTACACCTTGATTTAAAGATTCATTGATTATTACATTATGTTCACTTTTAGTAGTGAAGACTTGATTGGATTCCAAGTCTATAATAATATCTTGGTTAGTTTTGGTTTGAGCGATTCCATTTTACCCTAAACACTTTGAGCGGATATGTGTGAATCTTTGTGAGGTATTAGTTATGTTTTATTTATGTCGACAATTAATAGGGATATCTTGCTTGTTAAAATTTTTTTAGTCGTGTCTTTGCTTGATTGTACCTTGAATTCGACAATTGTCATAGACTTAGTTAGATTGAAAGTTTGAGGAATAAAGTGAAATTGAAGATGACAACTTATGATTTTGATATGTTAATTGAGGAATACTTGAGGACAAACATCGAAAAGTGAGGGAATTGATAATGGTTTATTTAATTATTATTTTGCCTTTAAATTGCTCCTAAGTTGTTAGTTTTTGTGGTTGATTTATTAATTTTGATTCATTTTCTATACAGAACACTAGAGTCTGAAATTGCACTAAAATGACATAATATGCAATTTTTTTTTTTTTATTTTCGGAATCAAAGCTGGATTAGTGGGCATGACTCTCGGCATACACATCTGACGAGATGTTAAGTCAGCACTTTTCAAAAGATTAGTCAGCGCCTTCTAGAAGGGTGAATGAGTTTTCGCGTTTTTGAAATTCGAATTCAAGTTAAACTCATGTTTTTAGAATTTAGTTTAAATATTTTAAGAATTATCTTTAGAATTATCTTTTTTTTAGAATTATTTTTCTTATTTTTAGGATTTTTGTAGACTATAAATACCCTCTCAGAATAAGCCTAAAGAGACATTCAGAATTCATTCTTCCTTTTTATTTTGGGTTTTATAAAAGTTTTCTTTTTCATTTTCAAAGTTTTCTTTGTTTTTGTTTTATTTTTATTTTTAAAGATGCTATGTTTTTGTCACACTTAGCTAATTTCTCCATAAGCAAGGGTTAAAGCGATGACTCAATTCCTATTGTGAGGATTGAAAATACCTTTGAGTTATTTTCGATTTTTCGGAGAAATAGGATGGGTAATCAATCTATCCTTTAAAATCAAAACACTTTTAAATCAAAAAGAGCTTGTTGGTTTGGATGTTATTATGGTTTATAGTTAGGAGGAAGAATCGACTGGTAGCAAGTTTAATTTCCTGTGAACACACTTAGCGACGGCCCGCTAAGGGAAATTGAGGTCGGACTCGATTTTCATTGAGACAACATAATCCGAGTTGGGTTTTTCCAAAGCTTTTAAAACTGAGTTGGTACTGACGACGATAGTCGTAGTTAGTCCACATAAGACTGGAATTCAAAGATAACTTTTGGATTTTCGGTTTACAAGAGAGAAAAACAAGTTACAATGGTTACATGTAGACTGTAACCGAATATCCAAAGTAAAAATCTATTTCAATGATCAGATAGAATTGAGGCAAAGTTGAAACCTGATGCTATTTTACAATAAGTTTTCTTATCTCGATTTATTTTTAATTTATTTAATTTATCTTTATCCCCAATTATTTTTAAATAATTTGAATCCCTTTTTTCTCTCATCCCTATCTTATTTTTCCTTCTGTCCAAATCCCTTTACTTTTCATCTTTATCTAGATTTAAAATCGAAAAGTCCACAACTTCTGAAACTCCAAAGTCCTGTGGACGAGTCATATTATCGAGTTTGCATTTTCATTGCGACTAGGAGGGTTCATAGGACACTTATCCATCTATTTTCCACAAATTCATCTTCACCATCATCATCTTTACCGTTCAAGCATATCTATTGGGTAAGCATAATGTGAATGAATCATTAAACGATTCTAATATTGCTTCCTTTAATGTTCGAAGTCGAATCTTTTTGAAGAAAGGGAGGATGACATATGCAACACAAGACTCACATCAACCAAGCCTTGTAAAAGAAGACCAGAACAACAACAACGACGAAAACAAACCTATTAACTTTTTTTATTTATTTTTGAGAAGAATGAACTATTTGACAATAAAAACGCTTGTTAATGTTGATCGTTTTTTATTAACAGTTTTTTTTCAAGATAGATTATTTTATATAAAAATTAAAATGTTTATAACAGTGTGAAAGATAATAAGGACTAAAATGACCATCAAAATAAATGTTGAAGACTTATTTTAATGATGTGAACATTTACAACAGTGTTGAAGATAATGTGAAATATTTCCAAGAAGTTTTTCATTTGTCTTTAACGGGAGAACGCCAAAAGTTTATATTTGCTTTTTATCATAAATCATCCCATTTTGCTTTATAACAGAGACTGGGAATCAAATTTGTAGATTAACTTCAATGAAAGAATAGTACATAGATGGATGATCATCCTTCCCAAATTGCTTTATAACAGAGAATAGGAAGTAAATATGTATATTAACTTCAATAAAAGAATAGTATTTAGATTAACACTGACAAAAATTAAACTCCCCTGCATGTTTCTAGGGGATTTCCATTTCCTTGCTTTGAAAGCCCTGGTTTCTAAACCAGGCAGATAAAAAAAAACAATAGAAGAAGGTCGGACTCATGCATGGTGACAGGTATAATATATGTACATTGGTCCTTGCAGGCCAATTTAATGAACAAACCAAAACTTTTAGATTGGCATCTTATGAGAGCAATGTTAGATGACCAGAGTGCATTTGGAGAGTGTGGGGTGGCTTGGCCTTGCTGAGAAACAAATTGTTCCACCGCCTATTTCCTCGGCATCTGTCAGCTTACGGCGTCTCATCATTCACCAAAACTGGAACACAAACAAATCGAGGTTTCTAAATGATACAGGTTCGTAAGGAAATGATAAAAACCGGGGGGGTAATATTATGATCTTAATAGCTTACCAATAAAGTCCTCTTCTTCTTCTTCCTTTTTCGATATAGTCCGCGAGCTCCTGCTGCTGAGCAAATGAGTCCTCTAGAGCCTGAAAGTGCAAGGAAACGACAATTACCTTTTAAGTCCATACAACACGAGACACTAAAGACTGAGCTTTGTGGTTTCTTTTTCCTCTTTTGTATTCGACTCACACTCAGGAATGAGTGTTTGACATAAGTGTTAAAATTTTCAAAAATTCCATGTATTTGAATTGAATGGTCCTTGAAGGACTAAATCCAATACTTATGTCCAGAAATGCATCGAATTATAGTACTCCAAGAGAAAAGAAGAGTCGAAGCAATATAGAGGTGTAGTTACAGCTTGTGCTAATATGATAGTCAATTACGGGTAAATAATTTCATCAAAAGTAGGAACAGTTACCTTTTTGGTTGCCATAAGCTCTTGTTCTAAGGCATCAGCCCGGCTTAGTGCAGAATTCAACATTTCTTCCTTCTCAGGAGGCATGTTATAGATTGCATGTTGATAGCAACTAGTCTCGCTTCCAACTCAGCCATACGTTTCATGACCGCTTCCAACTCATTAGGAGTGATGCTTGGTTGGGGTGCCTGGACTGGAATTTCTTCGATCTTAACCCCTGTGTTAGGAACCAGAAGTGGAGGCTTGGCATTGCTGGTCTTTATCGGAATGTTGCGTGTCACTTTCACCATGGTGGCGACTCCCATAACAAAGGCCATCACACCATTGAAAAGAGGAGAGCTAACATTTCAAGGTTCTTGCGACTTTCTTGCTTGGTAAAAGAATCTGTGATTTCCACAACAAACCTTAGCACCTGCTATAGTTTAGAACCCTAATATGGTACCTTAGACACTTATAACACAAATAAAACAAAACATGACATTGATCACGATCAAGGAACATGCAGAGTAAATCACAATCTGAGTAAGCCATGTACCTATCGGTAAGGAGCAAAATTTTTATTTTGCTCTCTTTTCTGCAAAGCCAAAGCCGTGGGTTCTTTAACCACTGGAACAATTTCCATTGTTGCCTTTGGGACCTGGGAATTTCAGAAGAAAATGAAGGGAGTTAAGGGAAACCATGTGAACTCAATCAGGTCAAGATATCTAGGAACTCTGCTCGAGTACTATGTTGATAGACATTGCATCCTCTAAGGCTCCTATAATTTTTACAACTTGCATCACATTTTAGGTCCTGGCATCTCCTAATAATTGACAGTATTCAGAAAGAAGGCTGCTAAACTTACAATATCCAGTACCGGGCGGGTTCCAGTGGCTCAATTTGATTCTTTGACTGATTATCTGCAGCATCTGGAACTTGCTCAGCATCGATGAAATCACTAGCCTGTTTCGCCTGTGAAACAAACTACTTGGTCAACCGTTGAGTCAGAGTATCATAAGTCATCAATATAGAGGGAAAAGAGCGAGCTAGGTGCATATGATAGAGAAGTAGAACCTCCGTCATCACAGTTTTATCCTCTGAAATGTTTTCCTTCTGTGCTTTCAGCCTCCGATTCTTTGAGCCTTATGATGACCCACTTTGAACCATCTGCAAGACGACTGCAGCTGATAAAGAAAAAGAAAAACATCTGGCTCACTTTTATGATCTCTGGGTCCTTCCATGGTCCCTTGTCGGAAAGCATGCAACCTCCATGATCAGCACAAGTGCAAGTGCCTCCCAAAAAATCGGGCAATTCACTGAATAGAGCACCAACAGAAAAAAAATATATATATGTAGATACATACGAAAAGAAAGAAGTAACACCAGTGATTTGTTTCAACATCATGAAAAGAAACAAATTTAGATAATCTAATGGGAACATACCCTTCATCAATTATTTCAAGCAACTTGCTCTGAAATTTGTTGCAAGAACCTGGTATGTAATCGGTTTCACCAATTAGTTTCTTATTGGTTAAAATTTACAAATTTGAG